TGCAAGCGTTCTGTACATGAAAAAAGTTAACCACAAAAGTTAGCATTTTTATCATCATAATTTCACCTGGGAAGAAAGTTCTTAATTTTACCCACGTCTAAACAGTGCCTTTCTAAATGGGTTTTGAATAAATTCAGAAATGATATCACAAAACAATTAGCCAAGTTCATTAGCGACATTCATTCCAAATACATCAAGGCTTGGGAAAGAATGACAGCTTTTTAACGGCAGCTCATCTCCTTGAAATGAATTGTTTTCTTGAATTTCCTCTGTTGGAACTTGTACAGTTGGAAGCATGCAGTTGATCATTCCTAGCATTTGCGTGAATGTGTATGTGCTTGTGAGTGGCCACTATGTGTGAAGTCTAAGGGGACTGCTCCATGTTAATGAGAAACCAAGGAATTCCTCTAACAGCATCTGGCATAAGTGTGAATCACATAATTTAAAGCTGTCTTACATGTCTGGATTCAAATTTTAGGTCTTCTTTCTATAAAAGCACTTTAATCACTGTAATATTAAAAGGAAGAAAGTGGTTTTCCCCCGTGTTTCAAGTAGCATCTATGGATTGGGAGTACCACCACCCTCTCTATTCTCTTGGTACAGAATGAACATCACAAGCTTACATTGCTGCTTTCAGGAAAACTTGAAAAGGCAGACACCCCACAGCCAGGTGTATCCCAGTCGGACAGTAAGCCTCTCATAAATATTGTAGGCAAAATGATCAGCCAACCAATTTATCCTAAAGCCAAACCCTGCAAATGTGAAAGTCTACCTCCTCTTATCAGACTCGGAGCTTTTTTTTTAAATCATTCTTTTTAAAGATTGTAAGGTTGATGAATCAGCGAAACAGAATGTGTTGCTAACAATTTGCATGGCAAAAACTAAGAATAATAATGTGGAATTTGAAATCAAAGTTGCTTTTATTTGAACTAAATGAAAATAACAGACAGTATGATGTCGCTAAGTTAAACCCACAGTGAGCCTTCATTTAGATAATTCTGATTGTTAAATCAGACTCATGTATAAGTGGACATCTCCACAACACTGAAGACAGATTTTCAGGGAAAAATGGTTTGCAATTAACTTCCAAAAAGAGGTTTCAATTGTCTTCCATCTTGTCAGAAATAACTTTTTTTTTAATCATACGTTTTTGGTCAAGATATTACAGAAATGCCAAACCATGGACAAATTAAAATAGCAATAAGTTGTATATCTCAAATTTCTCAAGTGTGTACTGCTATACATCCTATATCAAATTGATACACAAACTAAAAAACTTATGACATGCCTAAGAATTAGGAGCTCACATTTAAAGAACTATATTATTTTAACAGAATTAGGGTGACATGCAGACCTGAAGTACTTTGGAAATAATATGTTTAATCTCAGATAGCAAAAATATACAAAAACCTTGGCAGCAATGTGACCTATATGGATAACTTCAGTAAATCCATATTTTATAGATAATGAGTTAGAGCACAAAATTTTTTTTCTAATTAAAATTGCAAGAAGATTTTAAATGGAGATTAAAATGATCAGATACAATTGCATTAAAATGTTTTGAGGCTGAAATTTTTACAACTCAAGTTTCTTTGAGAATTTTACTACTTGAACATTCCAAGTAGTATTGTCTGTTACTTACAGTAATGTTATTGTTATTGTCTGTTACTTACAGTAATGTGAATTTTCCTCCTAATAGGGACTCCCCCTGAAAATAATAACTGCTGCAAGGCAATACTTTCTCAGCTGTCAACAGGCCTAAAATCAGAGTCTCTCACTGGTTTGATCATCTTAGGATGATATGCAATGGAACCTTCAGGAACCCAGAACACTAATATAGGTACAGCACTAATATAGAAAGTACCAAGTCATTTTATTTTCCAAGAATAACATCAGTATATAGAAAAATTGAGAATTTTCTCAATATCTGTAATTACCACTCAAAATTAAGTAATAGAAAGTTACACACAAGGATTTTATTCAAATGTTTAACTTCCCCCAAAAAAAGATCTACCAGATAATTCTCATTTTGAAAAGGTCCTGAAATATGTTCATTTGCATTTGAAATATAAAAGAGATTAATTGCTAAAGAAATAATATAGCTCCATTAGAGCAAATGGAAAAGATCAAATATTTCAACAATACTGATAAACCTTGATATGTTGAGACATTCTGAACAGAAAAGGACCAGTTTATCTATATGGATAACTTTAGTAAATCCTTGCTCCTGGATCATAAACTGAAACTAAGAACACTGGCACAGGGCTTATTTATTCTCCCTGAAAGAAAGAACATATTATCTAGAAAAATTCTTTAAAAATAAGAACTATTTTTTTAGTTGCCCTTTTTGATTCATATGCAATAGAAAAATATATCAGAATATGTTTAAATTCAGTCATCTTTACTTCAAATTTTAACAGCCAAAGTAACTCTCTAACCCTATTTTCTGCTCTGGCTTCACTTTCCCCAGGATATTTTTGCTTTATTTGTATTAATTTTTGGTTTTCTTTTCTAAAAGTAATCAAACTAGCAGATATGAAACAAAGAAAGGATGTTTCTAGGCAAATATTTCCCAATAAACAATATGAATTAGTAACAGACATCTAATGATTTCAGCTCAAAATATATATCTGTTTAAATAAAAATTTTACATTTCAAATGTTTATTTGACCCTACCTATACAGATTACATTTCCTTATAAATATATGCAGTTACAATATATGAAATTATAAATACATAAAATTACAACATAGCAGATAAAAGCTTATGAACTTTTAAATGGCTTAAATATATTTAAAATATTATTACACATTTAGAGTGGCCAAATTTAATAAAACCAAGCTGCAGCAAGGAAATTAATTTTTCCATGTCAAAATAAAACACACATGAGCTAAACTATAGTTCTACAATTATCTTAAAGATGAATACTTTTTTGTTTTATGACAAGTGTTTCACTTTATTAGAGGAGATGGAAGCTAAAGAAAAACCAATAATAAATGTGATTCTTTGTTTTAAAGAGCAAAGTTAAAGAATTATCTTTAAAACATTTATTGAATTCAATCTTTTTTATAATTTTAGATAAAAATCATGTCATTATTCTTATAACAATTATTCCTATTTGATTTGGGCAATTTTTTTTCTTGAAAGTGGTTTCAAAAATATATGCATTTATAATATTCCTATAAGGTCTTGTGATTTTGAAATGTGGCATATTATTCAGCTTTGTGTCTTTGATGTGTGTTTTCCACTCAATCCATGCTCCAACAATTCTGTCATACAGAGAACTGAAAATTAAGTTATTCTCACCAGAAATACTCCCCCACAAAGAATCTATCAAACCATAGATATAAACCTCAGAACAATTCCTGCCAGGTTCTCATGCAAATGCTGCAGAAAAACTTACAAGAGCACTTTAAGATATTGAGAACCCTTCAATACAACCCAGTATAATAACTTTTACTTGCTAATTTCTATGGGTCAGTTGCAAAGGAATAGACCTGTCAATCAGTTTCAGATGTAGCAGAATTTGTCTGTCTACAAACAGGGATACTTTGTCGTTGCCATAGAGACTAATCCTCCACTTTCCTTCTGTTGACACAGCTAGTCACAGTCTAAACTACCTGATCACACTTTTAATAGGCAGCTGACTGGAGTACCATAAAATGCTCAAATCAAGTTTGTAACACTTGAGGCACACACTGTGGCTTCTTTAAAAAATATTATAATTTAAACCATGTTATATATTAAGACTCCTATTTGTTCCTTTACCTATCCAGGTTAGAGAAATATTTAACTATTGCTTTGTTAGGTGTCAAATTGAATATTAAATTCCAACAAAACACACAAGAAACTAATATGAATACAATTTATGAAGGTTAGAATAATTTTCATTCTATCTTTGCAGCTTAAGAGGATAGATTCCTTTGTTCTTCCATACTGCCTTTTAAATATATACCAGTATTTCATATCAAGTCAGTATTTATATCAAATATAAACAGTCATCTGGCTGTCCAACAATTTGTCTTTGAAATTATCAAGAACATGTTTACATTTTAAAAATTCAAAATTGACCAACGTGTTGTTTCATTCCATTTTTCAGACTCATATAAATTAGGATAACCATAATGTATGCTTTCTTTTCAACTAATCTGACCATATTCTTTAGTCAGTTCCACTAAGACCAAAATATTTAACCTTTTCTATGAAAAAATGTTCTATTTTTAGACACTTTAAATAGTTAATGCTTCGTTATTGGCCAAGTGTAGCTTAATTCCTATATTACTTAAAATAGTGGTCCAAATCTCTATAAAATCTTCCTTGACAATTTTAACATGTTGCTTAGAACTTTTTTCCTGTGATACTTTAATTTTTTTAAGGTTGTTACATTATAAAATTACACCTAAGATTTCCAAAGATTATTGAACTGCAACAGCACCGCCTTTCAACATATTTAATGAAAAGTATGTAGTGACTCCTTCAATTAAGAAGGAAAATTGATGTGTATCATTAATTACGTCAGTAGAAATCATAAATCATCACTGAGTGCTGCAATTAATTATTTTTAAATCATGTGAAAAAAATGACAGACACAAGATAAATCCATAGGCTCTTCAGATGAGAGGGATATGGGAGGAAAAATATGAAGAAGAAAGGATACTACAAATTAAAAGCAATTCATAAATAAATAGCCACCTTATTTTTTTTCTGTAGATCAGTATGAAAAATGATATAGGGACTATTTAATACATGAACATTATATGTCTTTGTTAGTTCAGCAGCACTTGAGTTTGAAGAGTTGGTTATTTATCCATTTTATTAATTCACATCACACTGGTACAAAGTGAAATAAAAATTCTCAGTCCAGATGCAATTTTTTTTTAGAATAACAGTGAGAAATGGTTAAGCATGTGTTTCATTTAGATGAATAAATACTTTTTTCAGCAGTTATGTCCTTGGATATTTAATTCCAAAACATATATTTTCTTAAAAACATACACACAAGCTTTGCGCAGTGGCAGTATCATAGCCAATGAGGTTTATCCGAGGCGCGATTATTGCTAATTATTTCATAAATGACATATTAAAATAAACTGTATTCTTAAATTATAATAGTTTTCCTAGTATTGGTCATACTACAGTAACCTTATTAAACCTTCCATTAGTAAAATCATCCACAAGTCAATAGCTTGTAATACCATTTCTAAGTGTCAAAATAAAATACTTAGAACATACTTCATCAAAATATGAATTTATATTCAAGATCATCCTCCCAAAAAAATTCAGGCTCCACCAAGAATGTCATGCTAAACCTTCAAATAAGCTTGCTAAATGTTCCTGCTATCTGATTAGACTCAATTCATATTTTACTGCTAAAGTACCCTTATTCCATGTATCCATGTAATTATTACTCATCTTGTGTTATAATAATTTTGCCTCCTGGAAAACATAATGGCTGTAGTTTTTCAATCTTTCCTGCTGCCCACTTCAGGGTTGTGCTTCTTTTCCACTGATGCAGTTCAACTTTCACACGCTGAAAATGACAACCACTTCAATTTGGTGATGCAAAAGAACTGAACACATCAGGAATAATCGGATTTAGTGTCTTGTTTCTCAATGACACATCTCAGATTGAAGTCCTATTCTGTGAAAGCATGGAAGACCCAGAAAGTAGCACCAAAGGAGTAATTTCTGAATGGATAAGTTTTTATTTATCAAATATGTGACTCTCCTGTAGCTCATCCTTTGACCAACAGCAACGCTGGCGTTAGGCTTGCTGACTTGGCTAGTTATTCTCCTTTCCTGGGAATCTCTGACACAATCACTTATAGCTACTGAAAATCTGTGGTGTGATCCAGATGTTCCCATTCCACTTTTGCTATTCAGACTTTCAAAATATACAAAGAAATCTCTTTATATTCAGAATAAATTAAATGAGCGAGGAATTGGAATTATAATCCTATTTTTAAGAAGTAATGATTGCATATCACAGAAAACCTAAAATGCATTTGATTTCTAGTTTTAACTCTGACTGCATTTAATGATAGTCCCCATACATGGGGCACCTTTGATACATGCTCTCTGATACTCGGAAGCCAATTCTCTCTGAATGCAAACTACACACACTACAGCTGCAGAATGCCGTTGCTGATGTGCAGACATTACAGCCATGTAGTTGTTGCCAAGTTGAATTGCATTAATAAATGTCTACCTCAAAAAAAGAGGCAGGTATTAAGGCTTTAAGGCATATTACATGTTATGTTCAGAAATCTCTGAGTTGCTTCTTGCAGTTCAGAAGGAAGAGATCCCTAATGTTTTAGTCATAAATCAAACAGCTATTATAATCAAAAAAATTCCCAAAAAAAGAGCAATTGTGTCTGTGTAGATGGGAGGAATGTCATCTGTATACAGACTTAAAAATTCAGCCATAAATTCTAATTTTTAATCCAATGTGCCAGTTATTTAAATGTTTAAAATGGGAAAATAACTAGGCTTGCCCATTTTTGTGAATATGCATAGCATTTGTACACATCCTAGATCTCCTAGTTTTATAATATATTCTCCAACCTATAGTTTAAACTCAATAGATTTGTGTACTGTTATGAGAATCATGAAACGATATTCAAAACAGAAAAAAAAACTAAGGGGAGAAGAAGGAAAAAAAGCAAAAAAAAAAAAAAAACAGCTATGATACCTGTTAACGATGAATTCTAACTATAAGCAAGGAATTTTTTTCCACAGTAGATCGTGGGAGTTCATAACTGTAGGTATGATCAAGGCTTATTTCAATGCTTTGAAATGTCAAATGAGTAATTTCATTCTCTTTTATTTTTAAACTATTCGCAGAGACAACACAAAATTATATAATGTTACATTTATTTTAACCTACACTTCTTCCTTCATAAGGTTACTTGTCTAAACATTTCACTAACATTGTGCAATTTTAAACTGAGAAAAAGAACAAAGTTACAAGTGTGACAATTTATCAGGAATAGATTAAGTGACAGCTGTAACTTGAATCAGAATTAGTAGATTATTTTAATAGTTTCAGGAGGAGTATAATTTACAAAAGTACATTTGAATGATATTAAGATAGCAGGAGGAATTATTTGCTTAGTGAAGGCTTATTTCTTTAAATTAAACTTTGTTAATATTCTTTCCATTAGAATTAATTTTAAGTATAGATATGTGTCTCTTGATTCAACAATTCATCAGCTGGTTCACTGACACGAGGGAAAAGTATTTCCCAAATATTTTGCTCAAGTCATGGATCCTCTTCGCAGATTTACAATTTTTTTCTGTGTTTTGATGGATAGATTATCCTTTCTCTCACTGTAATTCCAAAAAAAAAAAAGATGCTTCCAAAACTTTTGATACATTAAATTGGCTGCATCTCATCTTTCTCATAATCTAATTTCTAAGAAAATACTTAAGCAAAGCTTCATTATGTCCCCTATACCAAATTCCTAAGATCTAGAAATTTTTCTTTTTTCCTTCAAAAGTCTTCTGAAACACTATCCCTCCAAGAAGTCTTGACCATTTAAAGAGGCATTAATCCAAATTCTCAAGTCAAATATCCTAACAGCCAATATTTACTCTCTTCCAGAAGTAAACAACCTACTTGACTTTAATGTAAATATATACATGATCCATGCTTTTGGGGAGGCATCTTTCATTATTTCATCAGTATGTTCCTTTGTAATTCTATCCACTTAATGACATTTCTTTGAAACAAAAAAAAAACATAAAGCTTCCAGAGGAACCATTTGTCCCCTGAACTATGATGTATATATTTAGGCACTTATTGGATGATGATGATAAAAGCATTATTATTTTGATCAATATTCCTTAAAAAGGAAAACTTCAGTTTAGGAAGTGGACTTAATACTAATATACCACTCAATTCCAAATTTTGTATCTTTAAAATTTTTCGAATTATCTCTTCTTTGGAAAGAATAATCTGTTAACTCCTTATTATCCTGTGACTTTCATAAATTTTATGTATTGCAAGGCTCAATGTATTTTGCAGATCAGTGTTTCTATACTCATTATAAGTAGAATCATGACTGTACAAGAACTATAAAGAAAGAAACTGCATGATATCCTTACCGTCACAGTGATTGATTACCTTTTCTTTGAAAGTAAATAACTTAAATGTAATCACAGCCTCTAAATTATGGGGATTCTTACAGTCTTTTAAATTAAAACTATGCATTCAGTATTTACTAGAACACAGGTAAAATTATTTTCCACGTTAACTGATAACAAATGGGTTTCCTCAATAGAGCTAAGGAGAAAGAAAACAAATGAACTATAAATACAGAGACAGAGCAAGAAGTAGATAGGTAAACAGATACAGGCTAAAAATGCAAACAAATATAAAGATGTAAACTGTTACATTGTTGATGTGGTTAAATGGAAGAAAATTTTTTTGGTAATATCTATATTCATGATATAGTTAATTCAATCTCCAGTTTGCTTCATGTTTTTTCGTTTGCTAAAGAGAGAGAAAAGAATTCTATAAAACATTAGGGATTTGACACCAACCAAATCCTTTCTAATCCTGAATTGTAATTGTAGAGTCAGTACCTGTCAAAGTGGTCTACTCAATAGAACTCAATAAATTACCATGTAAAAAATAAGTGAATAAAAAACTGAAGATCGACCCACAGACTAAAGCACAGAGAGGAATTTGTAATTGAATAAAACAAAATGCAACTTGAAAATACTTCATATAAATCCTCATGTGACCATTTAAGCTACAGGTCCATAAATGCAAGCGTTCTGTACATGAAAAAAGTTAACCACAAAAGTTAGCATTTTTATCATCATAATTTCACCTGGGAAGAAAGTTCTTAATTTTACCCACGTCTAAACAGTGCCTTTCTAAATGGGTTTTGAATAAATTCAGAAATGATATCACAAAACAATTAGCCAAGTTCATTAGCGACATTCATTCCAAATACATCAAGGCTTGGGAAAGAATGACAGCTTTTTAACGGCAGCTCATCTCCTTGAAATGAATTGTTTTCTTGAATTTCCTCTGTTGGAACTTGTACAGTTGGAAGCATGCAGTTGATCATTCCTAGCATTTGCGTGAATGTGTATGTGCTTGTGAGTGGCCACTATGTGTGAAGTCTAAGGGGACTGCTCCATGTTAATGAGAAACCAAGGAATTCCTCTAACAGCATCTGGCATAAGTGTGAATCACATAATTTAAAGCTGTCTTACATGTCTGGATTCAAATTTTAGGTCTTCTTTCTATAAAAGCACTTTAATCACTGTAATATTAAAAGGAAGAAAGTGGTTTTCCCCCGTGTTTCAAGTAGCATCTATGGATTGGGAGTACCACCACCCTCTCTATTCTCTTGGTACAGAATGAACATCACAAGCTTACATTGCTGCTTTCAGGAAAACTTGAAAAGGCAGACACCCCACAGCCAGGTGTATCCCAGTCGGACAGTAAGCCTCTCATAAATATTGTAGGCAAAATGATCAGCCAACCAATTTATCCTAAAGCCAAACCCTGCAAATGTGAAAGTCTACCTCCTCTTATCAGACTCGGAGCTTTTTTTTTAAATCATTCTTTTTAAAGATTGTAAGGTTGATGAATCAGCGAAACAGAATGTGTTGCTAACAATTTGCATGGCAAAAACTAAGAATAATAATGTGGAATTTGAAATCAAAGTTGCTTTTATTTGAACTAAATGAAAATAACAGACAGTATGATGTCGCTAAGTTAAACCCACAGTGAGCCTTCATTTAGATAATTCTGATTGTTAAATCAGACTCATGTATAAGTGGACATCTCCACAACACTGAAGACAGATTTTCAGGGAAAAATGGTTTGCAATTAACTTCCAAAAAGAGGTTTCAATTGTCTTCCATCTTGTCAGAAATAACTTTTTTTTTAATCATACGTTTTTGGTCAAGATATTACAGAAATGCCAAACCATGGACAAATTAAAATAGCAATAAGTTGTATATCTCAAATTTCTCAAGTGTGTACTGCTATACATCCTATATCAAATTGATACACAAACTAAAAAACTTATGACATGCCTAAGAATTAGGAGCTCACATTTAAAGAACTATATTATTTTAACAGAATTAGGGTGACATGCAGACCTGAAGTACTTTGGAAATAATATGTTTAATCTCAGATAGCAAAAATATACAAAAACCTTGGCAGCAATGTGACCTATATGGATAACTTCAGTAAATCCATATTTTATAGATAATGAGTTAGAGCACAAAATTTTTTTTCTAATTAAAATTGCAAGAAGATTTTAAATGGAGATTAAAATGATCAGATACAATTGCATTAAAATGTTTTGAGGCTGAAATTTTTACAACTCAAGTTTCTTTGAGAATTTTACTACTTGAACATTCCAAGTAGTATTGTCTGTTACTTACAGTAATGTTATTGTTATTGTCTGTTACTTACAGTAATGTGAATTTTCCTCCTAATAGGGACTCCCCCTGAAAATAATAACTGCTGCAAGGCAATACTTTCTCAGCTGTCAACAGGCCTAAAATCAGAGTCTCTCACTGGTTTGATCATCTTAGGATGATATGCAATGGAACCTTCAGGAACCCAGAACACTAATATAGGTACAGCACTAATATAGAAAGTACCAAGTCATTTTATTTTCCAAGAATAACATCAGTATATAGAAAAATTGAGAATTTTCTCAATATCTGTAATTACCACTCAAAATTAAGTAATAGAAAGTTACACACAAGGATTTTATTCAAATGTTTAACTTCCCCCAAAAAAAGATCTACCAGATAATTCTCATTTTGAAAAGGTCCTGAAATATGTTCATTTGCATTTGAAATATAAAAGAGATTAATTGCTAAAGAAATAATATAGCTCCATTAGAGCAAATGGAAAAGATCAAATATTTCAACAATACTGATAAACCTTGATATGTTGAGACATTCTGAACAGAAAAGGACCAGTTTATCTATATGGATAACTTTAGTAAATCCTTGCTCCTGGATCATAAACTGAAACTAAGAACACTGGCACAGGGCTTATTTATTCTCCCTGAAAGAAAGAACATATTATCTAGAAAAATTCTTTAAAAATAAGAACTATTTTTTTAGTTGCCCTTTTTGATTCATATGCAATAGAAAAATATATCAGAATATGTTTAAATTCAGTCATCTTTACTTCAAATTTTAACAGCCAAAGTAACTCTCTAACCCTATTTTCTGCTCTGGCTTCACTTTCCCCAGGATATTTTTGCTTTATTTGTATTAATTTTTGGTTTTCTTTTCTAAAAGTAATCAAACTAGCAGATATGAAACAAAGAAAGGATGTTTCTAGGCAAATATTTCCCAATAAACAATATGAATTAGTAACAGACATCTAATGATTTCAGCTCAAAATATATATCTGTTTAAATAAAAATTTTACATTTCAAATGTTTATTTGACCCTACCTATACAGATTACATTTCCTTATAAATATATGCAGTTACAATATATGAAATTATAAATACATAAAATTACAACATAGCAGATAAAAGCTTATGAACTTTTAAATGGCTTAAATATATTTAAAATATTATTACACATTTAGAGTGGCCAAATTTAATAAAACCAAGCTGCAGCAAGGAAATTAATTTTTCCATGTCAAAATAAAACACACATGAGCTAAACTATAGTTCTACAATTATCTTAAAGATGAATACTTTTTTGTTTTATGACAAGTGTTTCACTTTATTAGAGGAGATGGAAGCTAAAGAAAAACCAATAATAAATGTGATTCTTTGTTTTAAAGAGCAAAGTTAAAGAATTATCTTTAAAACATTTATTGAATTCAATCTTTTTTATAATTTTAGATAAAAATCATGTCATTATTCTTATAACAATTATTCCTATTTGATTTGGGCAATTTTTTTTCTTGAAAGTGGTTTCAAAAATATATGCATTTATAATATTCCTATAAGGTCTTGTGATTTTGAAATGTGGCATATTATTCAGCTTTGTGTCTTTGATGTGTGTTTTCCACTCAATCCATGCTCCAACAATTCTGTCATACAGAGAACTGAAAATTAAGTTATTCTCACCAGAAATACTCCCCCACAAAGAATCTATCAAACCATAGATATAAACCTCAGAACAATTCCTGCCAGGTTCTCATGCAAATGCTGCAGAAAAACTTACAAGAGCACTTTAAGATATTGAGAACCCTTCAATACAACCCAGTATAATAACTTTTACTTGCTAATTTCTATGGGTCAGTTGCAAAGGAATAGACCTGTCAATCAGTTTCAGATGTAGCAGAATTTGTCTGTCTACAAACAGGGATACTTTGTCGTTGCCATAGAGACTAATCCTCCACTTTCCTTCTGTTGACACAGCTAGTCACAGTCTAAACTACCTGATCACACTTTTAATAGGCAGCTGACTGGAGTACCATAAAATGCTCAAATCAAGTTTGTAACACTTGAGGCACACACTGTGGCTTCTTTAAAAAATATTATAATTTAAACCATGTTATATATTAAGACTCCTATTTGTTCCTTTACCTATCCAGGTTAGAGAAATATTTAACTATTGCTTTGTTAGGTGTCAAATTGAATATTAAATTCCAACAAAACACACAAGAAACTAATATGAATACAATTTATGAAGGTTAGAATAATTTTCATTCTATCTTTGCAGCTTAAGAGGATAGATTCCTTTGTTCTTCCATACTGCCTTTTAAATATATACCAGTATTTCATATCAAGTCAGTATTTATATCAAATATAAACAGTCATCTGGCTGTCCAACAATTTGTCTTTGAAATTATCAAGAACATGTTTACATTTTAAAAATTCAAAATTGACCAACGTGTTGTTTCATTCCATTTTTCAGACTCATATAAATTAGGATAACCATAATGTATGCTTTCTTTTCAACTAATCTGACCATATTCTTTAGTCAGTTCCACTAAGACCAAAATATTTAACCTTTTCTATGAAAAAATGTTCTATTTTTAGACACTTTAAATAGTTAATGCTTCGTTATTGGCCAAGTGTAGCTTAATTCCTATATTACTTAAAATAGTGGTCCAAATCTCTATAAAATCTTCCTTGACAATTTTAACATGTTGCTTAGAACTTTTTTCCTGTGATACTTTAATTTTTTTAAGGTTGTTACATTATAAAATTACACCTAAGATTTCCAAAGATTATTGAACTGCAACAGCACCGCCTTTCAACATATTTAATGAAAAGTATGTAGTGACTCCTTCAATTAAGAAGGAAAATTGATGTGTATCATTAATTACGTCAGTAGAAATCATAAATCATCACTGAGTGCTGCAATTAATTATTTTTAAATCATGTGAAAAAAATGACAGACACAAGATAAATCCATAGGCTCTTCAGATGAGAGGGATATGGGAGGAAAAATATGAAGAAGAAAGGATACTACAAATTAAAAGCAATTCATAAATAAATAGCCACCTTATTTTTTTTCTGTAGATCAGTATGAAAAATGATATAGGGACTATTTAATACATGAACATTATATGTCTTTGTTAGTTCAGCAGCACTTGAGTTTGAAGAGTTGGTTATTTATCCATTTTATTAATTCACATCACACTGGTACAAAGTGAAATAAAAATTCTCAGTCCAGATGCAATTTTTTTTTAGAATAACAGTGAGAAATGGTTAAGCATGTGTTTCATTTAGATGAATAAATACTTTTTTCAGCAGTTATGTCCTTGGATATTTAATTCCAAAACATATATTTTCTTAAAAACATACACACAAGCTTTGCGCAGTGGCAGTATCATAGCCAATGAGGTTTATCCGAGGCGCGATTATTGCTAATTAAAAAAAAAAAAAAAAAACATACACACAACTTGTTGAAAAGTTTTTCCATTTTAAAACTATTTTAATAAATATAAACTTCATTATTAATTTTCAATTACTGGTTTAGCTAAGGTATTTAAACAATTTTTACATTATAAACTTAATGGATTCCACGGTAAATACCTTTGATTTCCTGACTTTTGCATTGTCAAATATCTCTCCTATGTGACATCATAAGTTGCTCATCCTACAAACCTATACAATACTATATAAACTGCAGATGCAATAAACCCAATAAACTGTTTTAAAGTTTCATCACTAATTTAAAATTTTAAATTAATTTATACTTAATGTTAAACAGTGCAACTGGAGGTAGTTCCTAATACAGCATAATACACACCCATTCTCCCTCTCCCCACCCAATTCCTACGCGCACACACAACACACACACACACACACACACACACCCCACTCCATCCTTTAAGGTATTTTATAGCCTTATCACCTGTAACATTTGACTCACAGACACGTAGCTACAACACCAAGATCTCACCAAAGCTCTAGTCTCAATTTCCCACTTCCTCTTGGACAAAACAATCTGGGTGCTCTACCAGAACTCCAAACACTGTATGTCCAGAAAAGAACCCACTGTCTTTCCAAGCTTAATTCTCTTCTTGTATCCCTAGCTATGACAGTGTTTACCTCATAGTAATAGGCTCAAAACTTTGATTTACCAGGGACATCCTTTCTTTGTCTGTGACATCCAGCCCTTGTCAAGTTTGGTTGTATCCTTCACTTCCCTTTTACTTCTCAAATCTCAATCCTTATCCAGTTTATTATTTCCTCTTGTTTGTTCTATTTCATTTGATCCATAATTGGTTCCCTATCCCCAACATTTCCACCCTAGTATTTAACCTTTTCAGTTTTTCCCAATGAAATTGTTTAAAGCATAGCTCTAAACCCATTCACTGATCAAAAAACTTTCAAAGACCCACAATGACAACAAATTAAAACTCCAAGTAAAATATTTTTTAAAAGATAAAGCAGAAATAAATCGGATGAAAAAATATTGAATGATAGCTCAGCTCCTCAGCCTGACATCCAAATCTGCCCATATTCCATATCTGGCCACATTTTCTTCTAATATGGTTTTCACACCCCCAGCCTTCTCTAAGGAGTGTGGTACAATAGAAAGAGTATGATTGGAAAGTAACATAAGTAGGAAAATAGAGACTTTTGTCAATTTGTTCATTGATATGATCCTAAGCCTACAACATCAGAGAACTCAAAAAATACTGGCTTAGTAACTGAAGAGATTTAATTTGGAATCTATGCCACTAGTTATACTGTGAGTACATAATATATAATATGTGTGTGTATTTCACATATATATATTCACTGACAGGTTAATTAGGATGGTAGAATGGAATCTGTTTGACTAGACAAGCTGTGTCACTTATTAGCTATATGAACTTTACAAAAATCACGCATGCAAAAATGAAGTCTTCTAGCTTATCTTTTAAATGAGCTAATACTACTAAATTTAATTTTTAAAACTAAATGAAATTGGTTTTAAAAAGTGTATTTAACACATCGTAGATGTTCAACAAAAGTTTATTCCTTTTCTCTTTTCCATTCATTCCTTTCTCTAACTAAACTTGCCTCTAACATATATACCTTTTCCTCAGGCAGATGGTTTTGCCTGGCGTGCCCCATCTTCCTGTTCCAACATGCCGAATTCCTACTACTCTTCAAGAATGAACTCAAATGATACTTCTCCCATACTTCTCTTCCCAGTACTTACTGGTCAAGAGTGGCCTCTCCAATAATACTTTATCTGTTCCTCTTTGGGGCATTTATTTCATCTCCATTGTTATAGTTTAAGACATATGGCAAATTCACATCGGGCTCATTTTTTGACTTTTCTTTCCCTAACATCTAGCACATTGCCTACCAAATAAGTATAAAAGTACTTAATAGTAAATATATGTTATCTGACCATAACTTATTACCAAGGAAAATCAAAATCATAGAAATTGAAAAGTCATAGGTCCAACAGTTAATATAGGGTAGCAACAGAATTGGAGCCCTGTTTTCTTTCATCCTAAGACCTTTGAACCTACATTGTGCTAATTCCCATTATGAAGGGAGCATGGGATTTGCCATTTTCTTACATTCGAAATACAGCTTCGAGTCCTAAGACAAAACCTAGACAGAAGGTTTTTTACTTTCGATATGTACAAGTTGTTTCTATAGTCCAAACGGAAGTAATTTAAAATATCATGCTTAGACTTCCAGTCAATTACTTTTCTTGGACCCATTAGCAAACATAGGTTGTGGAAAAAACTGCCACTCCGAAATCTGGAGATTCCAAAGAATCCAGAAAGTCACACAAGATCTGCTTACCTATGATGAGAGCCACTAAGTATAAATTGGTAGGAACACTTAACAGGTACATTAAATTGCTGGAGCCTGAGTGTGGACTAGCATGAAAGTGAGAAACTCCTGGAAGACCTCAGTTTTAGGGGAGTCCTCCAGTATTTTGTGAGTTTTGCCTTTAAAAATCCCACTAAGTTCTCATGGTGAAATCCAAGAAAATTCCTCTAATGACTGGCAGAGAGAGAGAATAAGTAATTTTTGTGAAATATGTCCAAAGCATTCTGCATAACAAAGACCTCCTCACCAGGGTAAAACTCTTTATGAGAGCCTTATCACATCAGAGTAGAAGGACATTTCTCCACTTCTAGCCTCCCCCCGCCTGACTTCCTATCTAGAACTAAATGGGTAGCAGAAAGCTAAAGCTCATGATAATAACCTTCAGCAAACTAGGAATATAAGGGAACCTCCTTAACTTCATGAAACACATCCATAATAAACCCACAGCTAGCATCATACTTAATGGTAAGAAACTGATGCTTTCCATTTAACATCAGGAACAAGGCAAGGAAGTCACTATCACCACTGCTATTCCGCATTGTATGGGAAACCCTAGCTAATGCAATGAGACAGGAAAAGGAAATAGAAGATATACAGATTGAAAAGGAAGAAGTAAAACTGTCTTTGTTCACAGATGGCATGAATGTTGATGTAGAAAATCTGAACAGAAAAACTCCCGGAACAAATTAATGATTATAGCAAAGTTGCAGGATACAAGGTTAATATATAAAAGGCAAATGCTTTCTTATATACCAGCCATGAACTGAAATATGAAATTAAAAGCAATACCATTAAATTAGCACCAATAAATAAGTAAAACACTTAGATATAAGTCTAACAAAACACAAGATATATGGGAGGAAAATTACAAAATGCTGATGACAGAAACCAAAAAAAAAATTTTAATACACAGATAGTCCATGTTCATGGACAGGATGAATTATTATGTCCCTAATCATGCACAGGATATTATTAAGATGTCAACTTTTAGAACTTGAGCTACAGACTCAAGAAAACCCCCAGCAAAACCCTAACAAGTTATTTTGTGGATATCAACAAACTTATTCTTAGGTCTATATGGAAAGACAAAATATCTATATTAGCTAACATAATACTTAAGAGGAAAAGATTCATACAACCAATTTCAAGACTTCCTAAAGCTATGATCAAGACACCATAGTATCGACATAAAAATAGACCCAGAGATCAATAAAACAAAATAGAGAACTGAGAAATAGACCTATACAAATAGTAGTCAACTGATCTTCAACAAAGAAATAAATGGAATTTAATAGACAAAGGATGATATTTTCAACAGATGATGTTGGAATGACTGGCTGTCCAACTATAAATAAATACATACATAAACAAATAAGCCAGCCTAGACACAGATCTTGCAACTTTCACAAAAATTAATTCAAAATAGTCACAGAACTAAATTTAAAATGAAAATTATAAAACTCCTAGAACATAGAAAATCTATATCAAAATTCACTGAGTTCAAAATTCAAAATTCATTATAATTGGAGAATTATAACAAAAACATAACCCATGCAAGAAAAAAATTGATGTTTGATTTTATTAAAATCAAAAACTTCTGCTCTACAAAAGACACTGTTAAGATAATGAAAAGACAAGCAAAAAGCTAAGAATATTTTCAAAACATGTATGTGATAAGAGATGTATATTAAATATATAAGAGATCTCTTAGAACTTAATAAGGAAACAAACTACCCTATTAAAAATAGGCACAAGATCTGAATAGACACACATCTCACCAAAGTAGATACACAGATGAAAAATAAACATATGAAAAATGCTTAACAGCATTTGTTATTAGGGCATTGCAGATAAAATAATGATATGCAAATACGCACCTATAAGAGTGTAAAATCTAAAAACCTGACAATACCAATGGCTGTAGGGAGCAATAGGCACTGTCACTCATTGCTTGAGAGAATCATAATGGAAAAGCCACTTTGGAAGACAGTTGAGCAATGTATTGCAAAGCTAAAAATAGTCTTACCACACCATATAGCAATCATGATCTTAAGTATTTACAAAACTAATATGGAAACATGTCACACAAAACTTGAACACAAATGTTGATAGCAGCTTTATTCACAATTGCCAAAAACTGGAAAAGATTCAGATAACCTTCAATAAGCAAATGGAGAAGCAATCTGCAGTACATAAATACAATAGAATACTATTTAGTGATAAAAAGTAATGAATTCTCAAGCCACAAAAAGATGTAGGTGGACTTAAACATATATTGCAAAGTGAAGGAAGCCAGTCTAATTCCAATCATATGAAATTGTGGAACAGCAGAACTATAGAGTTAGTCAACAGATCACTGATTTCAGGGTTTGTGGAGGGGAGGGTTGAAGAGGTGAAGCATAGGAGAGCCAAGAAACTATTCTGTATGGTCCTATAATGGTGGATACATGACATTTTTTGTTTGTCAAAAGAATGTATAATGCAAAAAAAGAACCCTAATGCATTTTTTAATGCAATTTAGGAGGTTAGGGGATGGAATGCAGAATGTACATAAATAACTAACAGTATTACAGATGTATATGACAACCTCACTTTGGAAATGAGTGAAGTCTATAATACTAAGAATAAAAGAAACTATACATAGACACTGTACTC